CAGTACGCAGACGACACCACCTATTGGGCATACGGCATCAACACAAAATCATGTAACTCGAAAATAAACCAACAAATCAGTCAACTTGAACTATGGCTCAGAAAATGGCGTATAAAACCACTCACACTTCAGAAGAAATGAAATACTTAGGCATCACTCTAACACATACAACTCACACATAGCATTCTTACTACCGAGAGACACATTTTACGTAAAACACAAAACACACTGCGAGCACTACACACTGCCCAGCCGTTTCTAGGTAAGTTTAACGTTTTTAATTAATTTTAACTGACCAACAGTCTTGGGGACCGAGTACGCAACGTCCCCTTGAACTTCTACGTTCCCTTAACCCTTTATACTAACAAATACCTTCGTATTCCCGTACAACCGAAGCCACGACCACCGAAAAGCGTTTTTCGTTTCTATCGCCTGCCATTTCGGAAATGGCTCCCCCAAGGGTCCGGTACTCTTGGAGGGTCTCTCCCTCGCCGACGCCATCGTCTTGTTTGGCGAGATGAAGGAAAACCTAACCCTGTTAGGTAATTTCATCCGTCAGCATGCTGACAACGCCACGCCCACTCCCATGTCAGAAGACATCGTACCTAGCACCTCCGCTATTACCACCGCCCCGTCCTCACAGACAGTTGCCTCGTCAATCACAACTTCTGCCACCTCCGCCGACGGCTTTACGAAAGTCAACAGCCGTCGTACCAAACGCCGAAGGCAAACGCCCTTCCTTTCGTCGTCATCTTCTGCGACGTCGACGGACAAGTCCGAGCCCGAAACTGCAGGCCATGGTGCCGCAGCTCCTCCCCCAATCGCTATCCGCCAAAAAACCCTTTGGCCAAAAATTCTCCGTGGCATGGAAAGCCATGATATTTCCGCCCGACGGGCAGTCAACACCACAGACTCCATCAGAGTATATCCCAACTCTGTGGAGGACTTCCGCCGCCTCTCTTCTCTCCTCGACGAATCAAACGTCGAGTTTACCACCAACCACCTCCGTCAAGACAGGGACCTTCACGTAGCCCTTCGCGGAGTTTGCGAATCCATATCAACGGACGATGTCCAATCAGAGCTTACTCACAAAGATTTTGCTATCCGCGGCGTCCACCGCATGTCCAACGGCGGTAAAATCTGGCCGCTAGTGTCCGTTCGCCTTGATCGAGCGGACAAAAAGTCTAAGTCAATATTTGAGCTTGGCAAGATCTGCGCGCTCAACGTGAAAGTTGAGCCTAAGAAAGCTAACAAAGACGTCTCTCAATGCCGTCGTTGTCAAAAGCTTTTCCACACGCCAATTACTGCCGCGCCGCCTGGGTCTGTTCTTTCTGCGGCCGAAACCACGTCTACACCGAATGCAAGCCGAAAGACAAAAAAGACTCCACTCCTTCCTGCGCAAACTGCAAAGGCAATCACCGCGCTACCACTATCCCACCTACTCCAAAGAGCACTCAAGCAACCGCCCGCTCACCTGTTACCACCGTAAAGAAATCTTCCCAAATGTCTTAGGCAAGGGTCGTGAGAGCAGCCTCACAACCCCCCACCCGTAAGCCCAACCCAACCCCAAGCACCGCTACAACATCAGGTGCAACTCCGTCCCTTCAGGACAAAATTCAGGCTATCGTTCAGACAATGGTAGCCAGCTTAGTCGCCGTCCTTCAACCACCCACCAATGTCTGACACATCCCACCTAAATAATCTTGGATTAGTTACCTGGAATGCCCATGGCATTAAAGGTAAAGTGACTGAACTCGACCACTTCCTCGAGGAAAAGTCAATCGGCGTTGCGTGCATCACTTTTTTATCCCAAAAAATCAAGCTTTTTGTCCCAAACTTCCTGCCTACAGAAAGGATCGTGAAAACTCCAGCGGCGGCGGCGTAGTCATCCTCGTTAGGAATTCTATCAAACACAAGCCTATCTCTTTGGCTACCGATTCTTTAGAAGCAGTTGGCATTGAAATCACTTCAACTTCCGGCCCTGTCAGAATTATCTCATTATACTCCCCTCAGACGAAGAGGATCTCTCAAACCTCCACTTCTACACCCACCAAACGTCTCGACTATCGTTGCAGGCGATCTCAATGCCAAGCACGTCTCATGGGGCTGCCGATATAGTAATAGAAAAGGAATTTCCCTTCTTACCAACTCTCTTGACTTCGATTTCACAATTTAATCCCCACCGGACTCAACGCACTTCCCGGATCGTCACAACAACTTTCCAGAACGTTAACCTATCCTTCGACCCTACAGTTCTTAACGATTTAAGCTCAGATCACCTTCCTGTTCAAATAGAAATCGGCCGCCCAACTTACAACCTCCTTCTTTTAAGTGCACTCAAATTCGCACAATTGAGGAACTCAATGAAGCGGTAAATCTCCTTTCAAACGAGATTACCAGCGCCGTCGAGCGCTCCACGACCTCCCGCCCAGCCACCACCCCACTCAATACTCTCCCCGCAGACATTCTTGATCTTCTTAAGAGGAAAGACAAGATCCGACGTCTGTTGAATACACACCGCGACCCAGCACAGCGTGCAGAAGTAAACGCCCTCCAACGAGAACTAAAAACTCGTCTCACCAAATTCCGCAGCGCATCCTTCAATGATTATATCATTCAGGCAGAAACACACCCCCGAAGCACTTCGAAAGTGATCCGTTCGTTTCGTAACAGAGCTCCGCATCATCCGCCACTAAAACAGTACGGCACCACCTACTCTTCAGATGAAGAAAAAGCTGCAATCTTCGCAGACTGTTTATGCCTCCAGTGCTCCCCACTACCTAGTCCAGTGGACCTTGCCAACTTTCACGAGCGTACCAAAGCCATATCCCAAAACTTCGTTCCCATAAATTCCGAATTCAGACACACCACACCCCGTGAGATCTTCCTTACTATTCGTTCTCTGAAAAAGAGAAAAGCACCTGGCGCTGACGGAATTCCCAACGGAGTTCTCAAAGTCCTGCCACCAAAGCACATCACTGCACTCTGTAACATCACAAACGCTATCATGAGGCTCCACCACTTCCCTTTGGTATGGAAAGAAGCCACTGTCTTCTTCCGGTCTGCGTTGACTCTGCTCTCTCTGCCAGTAAACCCGTCACAGCCGGTGTCCAACAAGGCTCCAAACTTTCTCCTATTCTGTTTAACCTCTTTTGCGCGGACATGCCCTCCCACACTTCCATTGTGACTGCTCTGTACGCTGACGACATTGTCATCATAAACCCTTCCAGCGGCATTCTTCATTGGACAGCGAGAATCAGTAGGTTTCTGCCACGACTCCTAAACTGGTATCGGAAATGGAGACTCTCCATTAACGAGACCAAATCGGAAGCAATCTTCTTCTCTCGTAGGCTCCGAAAACCTCCCTGTATCATCGTCAACAACCGCCCCATCAAATGGAGCAGCTCCGTCACGTACTTGGGCGTCGTCTTCGACAGATGCATAAACTGGCGGCACCACATTACGGCGACCCGTAACAAGGCTCTGGGTGCATTCATCGCACCTAAACCATTCTTTCGAAATAGCTCCATCTCCCAACAGACGAAAATCCATGCATTTAACCCATTTGCTCCTTTGCCATTCCCGTCTGTGGCTGCGCCCTTCCCCACCGCCTGAAACCCTTGCAAGGCACTTACATGCGGATTGTTCGCTCCGCACTAGACTACTCCCAGTTCTTCAGAAACACACAAATTCTGTTCGAAACCGGTCTACATTCTCTCCCTGAGGCTGCAATCACATTCGCGGCAAATCTCCGGGTCACAATGTCAGGCCACGCCAACCCCACCATCTCGGCACTCTCCAACTTCGCACCGAAACCCAACGACCGCTTCCGAAGGTCCTGTCACCTTCTACAATGAGCCGCTCCCTTTCGCTCACTTCTTGCTCCACCACCTACTTCGGTTTCCTCCCCAGCACTCCCTTCTGCCCACACTCTTAACCCATTTACCATCTCAGCCCTATCCCCAATCCTCAGCTTTTTCACTTTCTTCCCGGGGATATGAGCAATCCACAGGGTTTATCTCCCCGCTCGAAGAGGAGTTTTAGTCGGTAAGAATCCGACACTACCTCCCTTCAGGGGGTGCCTTTTGAAGATTTCCCCTCCTCGAGTATAATCTAAACAAAAAAAAAAAGAAATCACTACCAATACAACAACACCGAGCGGCATGGTCTAGTTGTTTAGACCATTGCTTAGCATTCGGGAGGACGCCGGTTCGATTCCGGGTCCGTCTGCCTTGGTCCAAGTTTTTCTGTGGTTTCCTTGGATCACTTAAACAAATGCTAGGGCAGTAATATTCCACAAGTAATCTTTCATTCTCTTCTGTCTTTAGTTCGCCCGTCTCATCTTTCTCACTCGAATCACCACCCACCCATTCCCACGATTCCTGAAAGTAGGCTGAAGAGGGCCTTCTGCTCTACCTTCCGGCGTACTCCGGAGGGACTGCCCGCCCATCAGCATTACTGGCTGGTGGGAATGAAACACCCAAAATTTTTTTTTTCACAACCAACAAGACTCCCATATTCCACCGACCCACTGCAAGAAAGAAGGAGTTAGTCGCCAACCAACCAACCCTCAGAATTTCTAAATTTTTGTTTGTGCCAACTCGATATTGTCCACAGCCTTGACTTTGTATCTATATGTATGTATAATCACCTACATTATCTTCACCTTGTTTTTTTTCTATTTTAATTATGTGTTTGTCTATAAATTGCTATTGTTTGTATATATGTCTGTCGTCTTTGCTATTGTTTTGTATATATATTTTCTGTCTTCTCGCTATAGTTTGCTGTATATATTTTCTATCGTTATTATACAGTGTATAGTGTGTAATAAAATATTAGAGTGTATCAAGCTAATATTGTTATAATATTATTAAATGATTTATTAATTTCAGTTAAATTATTGTTGGAGTAAATAAATTTTTTATATCCCATGGCCAACATGAAATTGTTGACTAACTTATAAATTATTTAATATAACATACCTCAAAATGAATAATAATATATGAAATTCGTTTTTACATAACAATACTCATTTAAAATAATCAAAATAACAATATTCAATTTTTATGTATGATTTGAAGTATTGTTTACATAGTTCTATTTAATTATAGGAACCGCGGCCATTAATGTTTTCAATCAACACAAAGAAAATCACTTTCGGGCTACTTCGAATAATGTGATTGAATAAGCGGGGAATTTGTGTCCAATGGAATTGTTGGCAACAGGGGAATTGCTTTTCACAATCTTAGTTAGATTTTTCTGACTATACGTATAGACCTTAGCACTGGCCGAGTGGTTGAAGTTTTTGATCTCGATCTTCGTGTCGATTTCATTGATCGGGTCCTTGTTGATGGCAATAATAGTTAACTTCTTGCCTGACGGTCGGATCGACGCATAAATTGCAAGCTTCTGTTCGTCACTCGATTTTGCACTAACACTGATTGAGCCGAACTGAGAGCCTTTTCCATTGTAGTTGCGGTACATCCTATTTGGCATGGTGAAAAATTAAGATACAAATCCATTAATAAAAATAGAAATTATAAAATCACATTTCAAAATACGCATTATTGTGAGCTTATGAGATAGTTAATCATCTACAGTGTGAATTCAAGATTTAACTGGGCTTTCAAAATATCGGAAATTCATAGTCTCATAATCCAGTCACGGATTCCAACAACACTTACGATACAAATTTGCCAGCTAGGATATTTTACAATATTTACCCTTTCGAGAAATTAATGTTTGTAAAATCCTTACCTGAAAGCATACGCCCATGGCTCGGTGGTATTTTGCGATCCCCAGGCGAGAGCCAGATCAACGCCCTCTCTTCCCAGAATACCAAGTACATCTGCTTGTGCTAAGGCGCCGTTTATGGTGTTCAAACCGCCCCAGCTGTATTCCGTGATGGCTATTTTAGTACCCGGATAGTAAGTCAGGATAGCCTGCTTCATCCTTGGAATCAGTTGTATCCGGTTATTCGGTTCACCCAGGTCCTTTATCCAGCTCTCGTCTATGTAATCAGGGTTCCACAGAGACTGAGTTGATCTAAGCAAATGTTGGCGTAAGATATGACATACAAGGTAAATTGGTCGAATAGGATGGATAATTTCCACCATAGGATTTCCACTTTATTCTTTCTTAGTTTAAAACCTAATCCATCTTTTCTTTTATTAATTTACGGATTTCAAAATTTTTCAGGTTTGCTAGGTTAAGGAAAATACCACAAATGGCATGGTGAACGCCATCTGTAGTACGATGCTACAAGTGGTCTGTATTCTGTCGAAACTGCCAGACGCGGATCGCGATTTCGACCTCTTTGGATCTCATCAGCGCGTCGCAGACAGCTCCGACAGAATACAGACCAACCTTTACCTGCTGTCTTAACAGCGCGTTTTAGAAAATATTTTCTAGGTTAGGTTATTAAATCCTATACTTAGTAGCATGTCCTTTTTTAAACTTGTACTGACCTGAGCCTCACTGCCAATACCTCCGGGTCTGTGCTGTCACTGAACACGTCAGCCGCTTGTGAGTACATATGGAGGTCGAGATAATCGAGTAGTCGTTTTGAGTGACTAGATTCCAACTGCTTCATCGTTTTCAGGTAATAGGGGACAAAATCTAGGTTTTCGTGGCTCTCTTTGTCTTTATCATTCCCACTGGAAAAGTCCAGGCCTAAAAAAACCGATGTACCTTGAAACCATGATCAGTTTTCACAAATTTCAAAATAAGATATGTGCAATCAGGTGACTTCTGTGATATTACTGCTAAGTTCTCTGACGTTCTGTTCCTATTTATTCGTGTTCGTCAAAATTGTTAAACTAATTTATTGATATGTTATGAAGCCAAACTAATCAAAGATGTATTTTATTTCTATTGAGGGAAATACGAGCTGTTTCCACGTCGAGTTCAAGTCAACGAAATGTAAACAAATCTTCCATGGTTACAGATAAAGGCGATAGTAACGAAGATGTTTTTACATCTGAACAATATCAAAGATGACAAATTTTATAACTTCAGCCTGATGATGACTGTACACAAGTCGAAACGTTGCTCTTATTAAATAGAATAAAAACCTAGAAAAAACAACTAGTCGGTCTACTGGCCAAGTAAAATTCATTTAACAATTTAAAGAATTCAATTTCACCGACAAAATTAGATTTTACATAAATAAATTCAAAATACGATAGTTTTTGTTGCGGAATCTCATTCTGCACTTTTATTCTACCGAACATGTGTCTTCCCATTATTCTTTATTATTTTTACATTCGAAGCATGCGAATTCTTAGCAGAGGGTAAAAGCTGAAGGTGCCTTAGCAGACACAGAACCTAAAGGTGAAAGGGTACTCGCTAATAAGAGGAAGACCTCTAAGATCACAACAATAATTGGTGACTTCAGCTAATAGACGTGACGTCATCACAAAGATGGCTAACTATGCACAAGATTGATTGCTGCATATCTGGGATAGAACAAAGTGCAAGATAACTCTCCATAAGAAAAAGCATGGGAGTCTGTGCTGATAACGTTTACAGGGTGTTTCTGAAATAGTAGCCCGTTTGAAGGGTACTATAAAACAAAAAAAATAAGTAAACGGTTAGTGGTCATCAAGTCTACCTCTTTCAAGAAAAACGTTTTTGAAAGTAAAGGCAACGGACAGTCCGATTGTAGGGCAGAGCGGGGTCTGTTGAGCCGCGGGGTCTAGTGCGCCACCTGTAATATCACGTACACGGTGCATGATAAACCCACGCCGTCATTGTTTTAGTCGCCGGCCGGCATATGTTTTGGTTGTGAATGCATAATGTTGCAAATTTGGCACTAAAAGTAAAAAACATAGTTCCACTGAATTTTGGTTAAACAATTACAAATTTTATCATACGGCCATCAAGTAAGTGTATTTTGATTTCAATATGATTACTACTAATGGTTTAAGTTTCAGGAATAAATTATTTTCAATTGATTTTTAGTCATTTAACATATTAAATGTAATTCGGAGAAGGGGTCATTTGAGCCAAAATACTCGGGGTCGAATGAGCCATATTCAAGTGACCCCTAATATTTAATTTAAGAAAATCAAGAACCAAATTTTGAAATGCCATCTACATCTAGAGACTATATTCCATTTTCGCCAGAGTCTGTGAGACCATTACCGAAAGTAGGGCCCAGAAAGCAACAAACAAGAGGGAAAAAAAGAAGTTGTGCTGTTTTGACAAACACTCCCGAGAAAGAGCACTTGCTTTACAACAATGTGAAACAAGAACTAAAACTATTAAGAAGATAGAAAAGTCCAAAAAAAGCAGTGAAGAAAGCAATTTTTAAAAGTTCCTCAGAGTCTGATGAAGAGAATCACTCTGTTAAGAAAATGAATAAAAAGGTCAATAAAAAGAATAAAAAAAATGTAAAGAAAACACAACTTCCTTTAGACCCCGAAGGGACGATTATTTTTGTCTAGTGTGCGCTGGATCCTATTCGGATAGTCTCCCAGGAGAAGAGTGTAGAGGGTAGACTGCACTAATTGCCGACATTGGGCTCACATTAAAAGCACTTCTAGTATCAGTGCAGTTTATGTTTGCATGAACTGTGATAGTAACTAAACTAATGAAGTTACTTTTTTTTAGTTAGAAGTTTATTTAAGTTTGCTTTTGTTTCTATGAGGAATCTCAGAAATTTTATTATGTTTTTGTTG